CGATTTTTGTTACCGCTTTTAAACGTTCTTATAGAGGTCCTTGAGCCAAGGCGTGCTCTATAAATGTGAAATAAAATAAGATGCCTTTCAACAATTTGAGTGGGTGGCCAGAATCCCCAAGCGATTTCCAGTGCCTATTGAGTTCATAGCACGAGAATATTGGGAGTCCGTGACAAAGCGATCATAATGAGATCAAACAGAGAGAGGGAGAGATCGTGTTGAGCTCTCACAACCCAGCTGCTCCTTCTTCCTCTCCAGACTTTACTCACTCTTTGCTGCCTTTCTATCCCTTTTATAACTGCCCTTCAACTCCATTAACTGCCCTTCAACTCCATTAACTGCCCTTCAACTCCATTAACTGCCTTTCACCCCATTAACTGCCCTTCAACCCCCTTAACTGCCCTTCAACCCCCTTAACTGCCCTTCAACTCCCTATACTGCCTTTCAATCCTTTAACTGCCCTTAAACTCCCTTAACTGCCCCTTTTCTAGGGCCCATTCCTCTTCCCTCCCCTCGCCACTCCTTCCTGCCCCTCCATCTTCTGAGGAGCATTCGTGCATTAGTAATTCTGTTCAGATGCACAGCAATCAACCCCAATTCACACCATCTCACTGCTCAACCCCTGTACAGGGTCCACCCGAATCTGAATAGGTATCCTGTACCCTGAATTGATTACTCTCCTGGTGGGCGTGACCTTCTGTGCACTCAAGTGACCCTATGGGCCCAATCCATGGTCATTATTACTTTAATTCACAATTATACTTGTGGTTCATTTACATTAAGCCCTTACCGCTACACGAGTGATACTAAAACAAACAAAAAATACAATAACCCAGATTTTTACTGAAAAATCAACACACACTCATACTCATACAGATCAATGCACATCCTTTAAATGATAATAATCATCGTCATCGTCATGCTTGATATGTTCACTCACAGATGAAGGATTCTAACAGCCCCTGCCAACTCCGATTAACACAGCTGGCTACATACGGTGCAAAATAATTTCAACATACATACAGCTCTCATGTGAGTATGATCCGATTTCACCACTCCGTCTCCGCGGCGCTTAAAACCCCCACCAGTTGTTGCAATGTGTCCAACAGATTCGACCTGCATCATTTAAAATCTCGAGTTTAAATGTATTTGATTAAACTTGTGGAAAGGTAGCAGAATGTCAGAGCTTACTGGTAGATGAAGCAGTGGTGATGGGCGCAGCCTTAAATGGAAGAGTGGGAAGAGGTAAGGACGGATATGAAAGGAACCATGGAGGATGGGGATATGGTAGTAGGAATGGGGAAGGAGAGGACATTCTTCGAATGGCCCAGGCAAATTATCTTGCAGTGGTGAAAATCTACTTCCAGAAGCTTGAGGGACATTTGATGAATTACCAGAGTGAAGGGGTTACGAGCCAGAGAGATTTTATTTTGGTGAGGAGGAAGCACCTGCAAGGAGTGAAGAACTGCAAAGTGATCCCTGGAGAGTGTGTGACTTGACAACATAGACTACTGGTGGCAGATTGCATAGTGAAAAGAGTTAGGAAGAGGGAGGTGAGGCAAAAGAACTGTAGCAGGGTGAAGTGGTGGCGACTAAATAATGAGAAAGAAACTTCCACACACAAGCTATGGAAATTTTTAAAATCGTAAGGCGTAGGGGGATCGTGAATTACATATGGGAACAACTGGTGAGTGGAATATTGAAAGCAGCAGGTCGTACAGTGGGAGTGAGAAAATAAAGACAGACATAACAGACGAAAAGATGGTGGTAGAGTAATGAAGTGCAAAAAACAGCTAGAGAAAAAGGCCAAGTTAAATAAGTGGCAGAACACGAGAAAGAAGGACCATCTGGATGAATACCTGACAGCAAGAAGAGCGTGGTAGCAATTGCAAAACAACAGCATTTGCACAACTCTACCAGAAGCTTGACAGCAAAGAAGGCGAGAAGATGCTATACTGTTTGGCAAGAGCCATAGAGAGTAAGACCAGGCACTTTGACCATGTCAATCTCATTAATAACAGTGAATGACGACCAATTTTGGATGAGATAAAGGTTAGATAGAAATGGAAAGAGTACTTTAAGACGTTTCTGAATGTGGAAATCCCAAGACGCAAAATGGTTGAGGGAGATCAATATGAGATTCTAATTTATGTGTTTAATTTAACGGGAGAAACGGGTGTTCAAACATTGATGGGGCTGTTTGGGAAAATCTCGATGGAGAAGAAAATGCCGGATGCGTGGAGAGAGAGAGAGAGTACTATGGTTCCCATCTTTAAAGAGAAAAATGATGTACAAGAGTATGGGAACTACAGAGGAATAGCATTGATGAGTCACACCATGAAACTCTGGGAAATTATCATAGAAAAGAGACTCATAAAGATGGTGTATATTGGCAAGAGTCAGTTTGGATTCAGACCATAGTGGTTTCAATCTTTGGACTGAAAGTAATGATGGAGAAGTTTATATGGTGTTTATTGATGTAGAGAAAGCGTACAGCAGGGTGCCTCGAGAGCTCATCTGGTGGTGTATGATAAGAATAGGTATTATTGATGTATATGTCCGACTGATTCAGGATATGAAGGAGGAAAAATGCACGTGCGAAACAGTTGTGCAGTGTCTTAGAGCTTTCAAATCAAAGCGGGGGTGAAGCAAGGTTCTGCCCTGAGCCCTTCCTGTTCATTCTGGTGCTGGGCACAGTAACGAGAGATATTCAGAGGGAGCCCCACTGGTGTATGCTGTTTGCAGACGACATTGTGCTATGCGATGAAAGCAGAGGGGTAGTGGAAGATGATTTCAGATATGGGTTTAATAATATTGAAGGGAGTTGGTTGAGGATTAGTCGGACAAAGACTGATTATACGGTGCCAAATTTCAGTGGAAATCATACAGGAGAATTGTAAATTGGAAGTGAACAGTTGATAAGATGAACGAGTTCAATTACCTGGCTGAAACGATGTGTGCTGATGGATCACTAGAAGGAGAGATGAGAACAAGGGCTGGATGGCTGAAATGGCGAGAGATGACTGGTGTGGTGTGTGATAAGAGGGTCCCAGTTTGGTTGAAGGTAAAAGTGTACAATACTGTGGTGAGGCCGGTGCTGTTGCATGGGGCCGAGTGCTGGGGCCCAAGAAAGAGGGAGGACCAAGCTATGGCAGTCACAGAGATGAGGATGTTGCTGATTTAACAAGGAAGGACAGGGTGAGAAATGAAGAAGTGAGAGGAAGACTCAATGTGGTAGAAATCACAGAGAAGATAATATAGAAAAGGCTGTTGTGGTTCGGTCATGTGGAGAGACTACAGGAAAAGTATGTGGACCAGAAGGTGCAAGTGATGTAAGTGGAAGGAAATAAATAAGGAGGAAGGCAGAAGACGAGGTGGGGCGATGTGGTGCGATCGGCCATGGTGGCCCGAGGAGCAGAAAGAGAGATGGCGCCGGACAGGGCTGCTTGGAGAAGGTTGGCAACGACAGCGGATCCCACATGAGTGGGACAAACGTGTGGAAGAAGAATAGTTTTAGTTTTTTCTTGAAACTCTGTAATGTTATGTTAAATAGTTAACTTAACGCGCTTTGCACTAACATATTTCCACATATTTATACACTTTTACATATTATATACGCAATTATTTCTACTAAATTATAAACGTAATAATTATGTAATATAATTATATTTGCCATGTAATTATTATTATGATTATTGTATTTCGTTGTGAGATGCAATTGGCATGAATGACGCAAAATAAAATGTAATCAATTATATGAGCCACATCTAGACATTCAGTGGGTTTTTATTAGCTACATATAGACATCCTGATGTAAGCGACGTAAAACTGTGAACATTTTCTTATTTGACCAGGTAAGGCCCGCTGAGCTCTGCACCGCTTTATCAGAAGTGACCTTGCTGTCACAAATGATAGCTCAAGAAAGTTGCTTATCAAATGGAAATTTATAGCAGCAGCCAAAAACTTCATCATATTGACATATTGACATAATATTGACGGGAAAAACAGTCAACGCGACATATCTTACCTTTTTAAATAAAGTGCAGTATGTATTGTTTTCTCATTGTATAGACAGGTCTATGATTATGGGTGCAGCATAAATGTAATGATGGTGCTCTGAGTAGTCGTACAATTGTGCCGGAAAGACGCAACACCGCGTGTTTTTAAGCAAAAGAAAATGTTTAACTTGACTTGACTCGCCCAAGTTCTCGATTGATTTGTATCCCTCGTTCTACATGACAGCTTGATTTCAACCGTGAGCAGGGGCACGAAAGAAGGACCTCAACATCTGCTTTGCATCCCTCAACGGTGTTCCCTTCCTCCGTCGTTAACCTCACAAGAATGCGGGCGCTCATTGCCTTCATGCAAAATAAGTAAAAAGAGCTGCCAACATGCAAAATCCATGACGAGAAACTTCGATTGACCTAACTTTAACAAATTATATCTACCATCACGATGTGGACATTTATAGCGGCCAAACACTATAAAGGCCAAACACTATAAAGGCGTGATGTTGATTCTGCATGTGGAACTGTCAGCGGGACTCGAACTTGGGTCTCTGCCGCGTTCCTAGCGCAGCCCAGGGCCCTAACCGCTGAGCCATCGCCCCGTGCAACGACCACACACACACAGCGCCACATCTCAAGGTGCGGGGTTTAATTTTGCTTTCTTTTTTCAACAGCAATCATATAAAATGCGTTTTTTTCTTTTTATGTTTGTCTCTTTTTGCCCTCATCGCGCGAGATAAATAAAAATCTCGAGGTGTGACTGAATTTGCATGAATCGGCCGCCTTTATGAAAATCATTACAAATTTAACCCCTCCCCTCGCCCCGCCATGGAAAATTATTCAAATTGATTCAAATATTTTGACTATAAAAAACGTAGCACGCGCCATCGGATTGTCATCACTGGAGAAGCGGCCGTTGTGGAACACGAAAGAGCGCCTCCGATTAGCGCAATTGGGTACGTACGGTGCGAAAGATGTTCACCTTACACACATAGACATATTTACGGAGAGATAATCCCCATGGCCCGCGCAGTGCGTAGGGAGAGGGGAAACTTGTCGGGTGATGATGGGTTTTTGTTCTTCTCGGCAGTCACAGATTTGACTCTGGAGAGATGACGATGGCAATCCTCGTCCGACTCGCCGCCGCCATCCTCTTCGGCTTCGTGGCTGCCACCGGAGCCCTCTCCTCCGTGGGCCCGCTGGAAAAGGCCAACAAGAAACTCTGCTCCGACAAGTACATCGTGGTGCCAACCATTACAGGTTAAACTAAACTATATTTTTGTTTAAGCAGGTAAGGCTCACTGAACTATACAGCTCTTTTTCATAAACGACCTGGCTATCAAAAATGATTGCTCAACGTGGACATGTATAGCAAATGAGTGCTCTAAACGCGTGATTGTGATTCTGAATGTCGAGCGAAACACCGGAGGACCCACAGAAAAATCCACGCGCCCATGGGCAGAACCCGCAAACTCCAAATATAGAGCAGGTGTCCGGGTCGGGATCGAATCCACGACCTCCTGTACACCAGAGGAGGTGGTTAACATCTCCGAGCCACCGTGGCAACGGGAGGCAAAAGGCAGAGGCACAAAGGAGTGTCTGAGATCCTTAATACGTGCGTACGGATGATGAACTCGTGTAGTGTATAGTGTATAGTAATGTAGTAATGTATGGTAGTGTAGTGCATAGTAGTGCAGTGTACAGTCGTGTAGTGTACAGTAATGCAGTGCATAGTGTATTATAAAGTAATGTAGTGTATAGTAATGTAATATATAGTAAATATTGACTTAAAGCTTTTGTGACTGCAAATCAAAATAGATAGGTTCAAATAATTATTTCATTTTCTATGAACCTATCTACGTGATTCTTTGGGTCTTTCGGTACGTGACTTTACCAAAAGACCTAAAGAATATAGTGCATAGTAGTTCAGTATATAGTAGTGTATAATGCAGTATATAGTGTAGTGTTTAGTGTAGTGTATATTAGGGTAGTATATAATAGTGTACTGTATAATGTAGTGGACAGTGGAGCGTATCGTAGTGTAGTGTATAGTGTATGTATTTTGAACTTCTTTTGCACGGTACGTCGCCGACCGGGCTAATCGGAGGGGCGGGGGAAGGACAATAAAATAAACACGACGTCTCCCCAAAATGTGTCCATGGGGAGCGGTAGTGCAGTGGTTAGCGCCTTGTGTTACGAACCTGGCAAACCGAGTTCCATTCTCGCTCATAGCCAATACCAGTGACGAACATCTGAATCGGTCTTGGGTCTCCCCTAGGTCGGTTCAGCCTAAAACGAGTACCTGCTGCGGTGTGTAGTAAACATCGCCAATGGGGAGACAAAGGCGGCCAGGCATGGTACTGGCAAACCACCCCCTTGTGTGCCGTGCCAGCCATCATGGTTTCTGTTACTCGCTAACAGCACTTGCCCCAACAGTTTGTTAAGGCTACATGGGGGATCTTTGTCTTTGTTCGTCTAGGTGTGGCTGGAGAGAAAGGAGACCAAGGAATTCCTGGGATACCTGGGGTGCAAGGCCCGCCTGGACCACCTGGTAGGACAATCCCACCGAGTTGTCTGTATTTACATATGGAGTGCCTTCACTCACATAGCTTACAAAACAGTGAAACAGAACAGAATGACTTTAGATGGTAGGAGCGTGCAAGGGATGAAATATGATGGTGGGCGTGCAGGATTTGGGTAGGGGAGGGACGGGAAGGAGTGGAGGTGGCGAGGATGGGGGAGAGAATGGGCAGTGTAGAAGAGGTAAGGCTAGAGAGAGGAACAGCACGAGGTTAAGGAGGGGGCAATGTTGAGTCTCTGGGTAGTGTTGAGTATATGGGCAGTGTTGGATCTAGGGGCAGTGCTGAGACTACACGTGGCACTGTACCAAACCGAAGCTTCCAGCGCTCCTGTATTGATAGCAAAATTAAAATACATATACATGTGTAGGGGGTTACTCGGCACTCACCACCCTGTTGGCTGGTAGCTCCTCCTTCTCGTCAATAGGGGGCGGAAGCGCTATCGCGCCAGTTTTAATGACCATTGCCCAAAGGGCCAACGACAATCCATGGGAAGCGGATCCTGGGACACATTCCCTGGACCCCGAAAGGGGGGACCGGGGGATAATGCACCTTCCAGAAAGTTCTGGAAGGGAGGTGTGGCTAGGGTGGAGCAAGCCACGAACCAGTATATAAGCCGGACCTCTCAAGGGTCTGGCTCAGTCATCTCCAAGACGAAGACTGAAGACCTGGGCTGAAGTTAGGACCCTGGACCCCAAGCTCTGCCGTCCTTCTAAGGGCCGGAGCTCAGTGAGGCAAATGGTCAGGACCCGAAGACCTGGTACGGTCGGGTCAGCATAGCCTCTCCTAGGACCCCAGTCAGAGGACGGAAGGTTACCGGGATTCCCAGTGCTAGGGTCCGTGCAGTCCGGAGGCCATACCTCTCCAGGTATCGGGTTAAGGGGCCGCTACCCCTTTGTGTTAGGGACCTTGTATAATAGAACCAAAAAAATATCGTGTTGCCTCACAAGAAGTTCCCCGTCAATTATTACCCACTGTACATGCATAATCCCAGCCGTTCTTAATCCACTGAGCTGAAAAGGCTTCATTCGCTCAGCCATGATTCTCATGTATTTTATTTAACGTACATTTAAGCAATTACGTGCATTTATAAACGCGCCAATTCTTATAACCCAGGTTATACCGAGTGTGCAGTCTTCATACATCGCAAGCTCTGTCTGGCATGTTCAATATCTGTGAAGAGTTTCGAACATCGTGCAGTGGCAGTGAGTTACAGGCCGATAGACCACTGAGTAGGTGAGTGGGCGGGTTGAGTAGGTGAGTGAGTGTGTAGGTGATTTCCAGGCAGATGGACTGCTAAGTAGGAGAGTGGGTGAGTAGGTGAGTGAGTGGTAACGTGAGTCAGTGAGTGAGTGAGTGGGTCGGTGAGTAGGTGAGTGAGTGGGAACGTGAGTAGTTGAGTGGGTGGGTGAGTAGGTGAGTGGGTGGGCGAGTAGCTGAGTAGGTGGATGAGTAGGTGAGCCAGTAAGTGAGTAGGTGAGTAGGTGAGTGGGTGGGTGAGTAGGTGAGTCAGTAGGTGAGTAGGTGAGTGAGTGAGTGTGTGGGTAGGTGAGTTCATCCAGCTGTCCTTGATGCCGACTTCCGGTCCCAGTTCTCATGCAGGTGCTTATTTTGATGCGCGTCCTTGTGACAGATGTGACTGATTTACAAAATGTAAAGGTGGTAGTTTTCAATCCTTGTCGAGGGTTTAATTAAATCAGGCATCCACATCCCATCTACAGCTGATTAAATTAAAACCTACAATGTGAGCACGTGGCTCAGACGTCAGAGTGCTGAGCTGGCATCACTAGGGATATGCGTTCAAATCCAGTTAGCTACGTAAACTGGGTGCTCGAATGTAGTGAATCAATTGGTTTTAGCCCAATTTCGAATCTTCTGCTTTGGTATGGCTGCTGATGTGTATGCGGAGCAACAACTACAATTCAACATTCAGGTTGTCAAGTCGGACAACTGCATCAGGAGCAGCGGATTGCTTCCCTGTGATGTCTCCATCATATATGTGGATCGGACATTGTATGTTGTATTGGTCTGTTCTGGATACCCACAGTCGCACACTGGAGAATGTTAAATTTTTCATTTGTGCATCAGGTGTCCGCATCTGCAATGGTTTTTGCATACATAGCTTAGGCTGGGTCATGAGCCCCGTGGAAAACCAAACCCAGGGATCTTCTGCGTTGTTTGTGAGTTATTTTGAACTCCATTAATCTCTCCAAGCTTCATCGGGGTTGAACTAGCATTGTTGAAAGTTAAGTGCATGGGTTCAAAGGTGCTTGCTTAACTTCAAGCAATGACGTGGGACGTTATTGAGATCCTTAAGAATGGAAAGGTGACTGTTTTCCTAGATTCGCACGATTTATCGGCGGGTTGCAGCGTTGCGGCGGATGGGTGGGGGAGAGATGTGTCATAGTACGGGCAGCCAGGGTGTTGGGGTCATCTTGAGGGTTCCAGTGATAAACTACATCAACAAGTCGAGTGTGACTGCTTCTGCTCCATACTGCTGCCGAGTATTCAGCTACGGAGTGCACAAAGGCCATAATTGATGTCCGTAGTAATGGTGCTGACGCTCCCTAGCTTATGCTTGCCAGTTTCTTAGCCAATTTGACCCTTTTATGGTCTTGGCGACTACCGTTTTGCAGGTGGTCATGGATTGTTAGTGTGTGGTCCAGCTTCACTCCGGGAGAGGTTAGAGTGGGGTAGTGTCGCACAGTGTTGCCACAGAAGGTCACTGTCAGACTGTGTTTGGCGATCTTATTATCAAGATGAAATCCATCTTGATGAGAGGTGATTATGTCTTAGTTCAGAGTAAGATTCGATATCGTTAAAAGTGGCTGTTTGAGTTGCCAGGGCAAAGCCATCCGTATTTTAAAATTTGCGTCATCTGCTTGGTAACATGTCACTAGTGTAGAGGTGTTACGGAGGGAAAACAAACACACTGGGCGTGGTTATGCCCGTACGCCGAGAGGTGCTTACATCCACGTCTGCACCGTTTAGCCTGGGGGGCTAACACGGCGCTGGGATCCCCCACGGCCCCACCCCTCAGTGGGGGAGTTGCTATATAAGGCGGTGAGCCGGAGGGCTCGGGGTTCAGTGTTCAGCCTTAACCAGCGAAGCAAGAAGACCTGCTAGATAGGCCCTGGGACTCCCCTGGATCGCTGTCCTTCTCAGGACCGACCAGGGCAAGCCAGTGGCGTGGCCCCAAGAGCCCAGAGCCGATGCTCTTGTAAGAGCCGGTCTGGGGACTCAGGGTGCCGTAATCCCAGCTTAACCAGAGATGGGTTAGCTAGCCTCCCCTAGCCCTGCAGTGGAGGACCTAGGAGTAGGCTAGCTGTGACATAGATTGTAGATCTCCCTGTTAGACGGGTGAAGGGGCCGATACCTCTTCGAGTGTTGTAAATCTCGGCCTGTTATGTACTTTGTGCTTAATAAATAAGTGTGCCTCCAACTACGTCGTCCAAGTTTCCTGGAACCTACTACACTAGTGTAGACACTGAAGAGAGTTGGTGTGAGTACTGAACCTTGTGGCAATCTATTGTTGAGGAACCAGCGTGAGCTGGCTTTGTCACCCAAATAAGCACGCAGTTGCCTATTTATCAGCATTGTCCATATCAGGCATATTGTTTCATGGCAATAAATGGTCCTTGCGAGCTTCAACATCAAATCCTTAATTCAGATTGTGCCGTAGGCTGATGGCAAGTTCACAAAGGCTGTGCCGGTCTTTGATTTCTTTTGGAATTGGGCCTCGATGTGCATCACAAAGACCAAGACTTTGTCACAGTAGCTATGTCCAGGCCGGAATCTCGCTTGTTCTTCAGTGATGACCGGCTCAACGAGGAGACTGATTCGCCACAGGATGATACGTTCCAAGAGTTTATAGGTCATGCAACAGACACGATAATGGCCTATAGATTCCCGGGTCATCAATTGGCTTTCCCGTTTTGGGTATTGCAATCACCATTGCCTTACAACATGTTTTTGGCATGCATCCAGTTTGAATGCTTTTGGTATTCATGTTTTCCAGCCTTTGGTGTGCTCCAGGGCCTAAGTGATGAAGGAATTCTGGGGGAATACCATCTCTTCCAGCAGCCTTACCTTTCGTAATTTCAGGCAGACCTTCCCTCACTTCCTCTGTGGTGATGGTGGTAGGGTCTTGTGAAGAAATTGAGGGCAATGTCTGATGTAATTTACGATGGATCTCTTGCTTGAAGTTTTCTTGAGCGGTCCTGTTCTGTTTGCCACTAGTTTGGAGGCTATATATTTGGGCAGGACTCTTCCGGTCTGGTATTCTTTTAGCAGCTCCCAGATGTCACAGTAGGGCCCAGGCATGCTAGCTGTGTGTGAAGTCTCTAGCAGGCCCTTCCAACCTGTGGACTGCTCGATTTGATGTACTGTTGGAGTTGGTCCTGCGTCTCTTTTGTCCAGCAGGGAGTGGATTCATTCCAGATGCAGCTGCAGTAAGGAGGTCAACAAAAAGGTGATACCATTCTGGTGTCGTTGGAATTCGACTCACTACTCTTTTATACACCATCCTCACATTAGTGCCGGTTAGTTTTGACCAGGTTCCACCTTGGTAATCGTTTTGACAGAATTATGGAGATTTCGATGTCCATGTGGTTGATGATGGGCCTATTTTGACTTTTGGGGAGACAGGATTTAAATCGCATTGCCAGCAAGCAGAGTGGAAAGTTGTTTGCTGCTTGGGATCGAAAATCATGTGCAGATCTTCGGCAGACATCCAGTCGGTGAGGTCTCCACCGTCGGCGCGATTTACTGCATGGTCCCACATAGTATAGGGGCTGTTAAAGTCGCCAATGTATAGGGCTGGAATTGGTGCACTTGGGAGCGCTGACTTTAGCCATTTTAAGTAATTGGGTCAGGGCTTTGTACACGTTGGTGATGTGCAGTTACTCTATCTTGATGCTGGTTGTGTAGGTGGCATATTTTTCAGTTGTTGGGAAGGCATAGCACGCTGTGATGGTGTTCTTCACGGATGTGGCCAAGCCATATTTCGGGTGGTAATGGCTCGTCGTGAGGTTGTATCCATGGATTTGGTAGCAAATGGCATGTAGGGGGTATTCAAGACGTGGTTTTCTTGGAGCGTCAGTACATAAATGTTACGTGGGTGTTCATTATGTTAGCTAGATACTCGTACTTCGCCCAGGAGATGTCCCAGGGCCTACGTGGCATGCTGTTTGGCCCTGAAGAGGGCCGTTGGCTTGGCTTGTGTTGTTGCTCTAGAGACTGGAGAGATCGATGATCGAGGTTCAGTCGCCATGTCAATGGCATTCGTCGTGATTTCTCACTCAACTGAGTGGACCGTGTGAAGGCTGCCATCTTCCACTCCAAATGATTGCATACCACGAAAAACCCATCACAATAGATTGGTTCTTAATTCAGATAATAATAATAAAATGAAAGTTATGCATGCAATGAACAGTATTCTTTGTTGCAGGGCCATTAGGGAAAGTTTTGCTTTAAGGGAACTGAGAAATAGCTCTGCGATGCATGCTTCTACAGGCCTTTTGAAAGATAATAAGTGGATCGTTTCTATCTCGGTGCTGTGACGCTGATAGCGTGATCATCAAGTGGAGTGCGACGCGTAATCCGATGCCATTACTTTAATGAGTTACTGTTCGGAATCCGATGAGCTATAAAGCTATTTTTCACACATGTCCAGTTGGGGCGGGTAAGAATGTTATAACGCAGCTGCCAGAGTGCTTACACGCAACACCGTTTCGCAAGCACATCACACACATGCTCTCTTGTCTTCATATTGGCGACAAGTCAAGTACCAATTCGACTATATGATCTTGCTGATGACCTACACCGCTTTTTACGGGTTAGCCCCACACTATCTGCAGGAACTCATCCACGTTGATTCTCAAACGAAGTCCCTGAGACCTTCGGATCGAACTTCTTCTAAGGACTTTGAGATCAAGGCACTCTTCCTGGAGTGATGGGGCGTTTGCCAATGTGCAGCTCCCAGGCTTTGGAACGATTTGCTATTGCTCCGAACATAATCAGTATCGTTAGATGTATTTTGAAGTCTGTCTTGAAAACCAACCTCTTCAAACTGGCCTAGTTCTGGCTGTTTACCCTGCAGGTTCTCTTCATTTCCTGCTTTCTATACACGGCGGCGCATTGAAATATGTGCATGTAAATGCACCTTTAAAAAATAAAAAGGAAATTACTGAAGCGGCATGCGTTTCTTTACCAGGAGCCCCGTGCAACTGCAACTTCAATGCACAGTTCGCCTCACTCCAGTCGCAGATCGACTCACTCAAGGGAACCAGGCAGCACCTGCCAAAAAGTGAGTGAGAGGTAACGCAGTCGATGAACGGGTAAATGCGCACCCCTGCAAAGTCTTCCCTGCCCCCCCTCTCCCCCGGTGTGGAGAAATATAAACTATTGTTTACAGCGATTTTGATTCATAATTAACCAACATGTAGCGTGGGAGGTTAGATCGCGCAGCTGTAATGTCACAATTGACATTGTCACGATTGACCCTATAATGTCGCAATTGACACGACAATCCAATCCAAACTAATTATGAATCATAATAGTGATCGTAGAAGCCTATATATGTATATACAAATTTTTACGGAACTTTGCCTTCCACTGCTGGGTGAAAACTTCTGTTACACCCCATATTGGCTATGGTGCTTGGTAGGCCATACTTTACCACCACGATTCAAGAGGACATATAACATTGGAAACGATAACTGCCAAGTTACTGACACTGGCCAACAACAAAAATACACGGTTGAATTCGTGGCGTTATGATCAATTAATACAAATCTAACATACCCTTGGGTCAGGCAACGATTTTCAGATGTGTTTAAACAATTACCGACGATGGTTAACGATGAAAGCCGCAGAACAAGATGCCGGCAATTGATGGTGACACGACTCTTGGCGGCATCACGTCACAGGCATTGACGTCATCGATTCGCTACGCAGGAAGGGTTTTTGGCGACGTTGCTTTCGACTCTGCTTAGTTTTGCATTCAAGTTGCTGTGGGGAATCATTTGATCAATTCGGTACAATTTATTTTTTATTGGTATCAAATTGCCATACAATTTTTAAATCTTCTTTTGCGAAAATCTGTGACCCCTCATTACCAAAAAAATTAAAAAATTAAACTTGAACCGTTTGCGAAGAGCACCGTGTGGCATTACAAGGACAGTCGACAGTTAATGCGGACAATGGCCCTTTCTCCATAGCATATACGTTGAATGTTACAGACAGACGTACGAACAGAGTGTTACAAGTGATTTCCAGTTGCATGTCTTCTACACCGCTGACGTCTCTCTCTGCCCTCCTCCCCACCCCTCCTACACGACGGCGATGACGGAATCCTGGTTTCTCCTGGCCACTCTTCATGGTGACGCTCAGACAAGATCTACCGGCTGTTCACCAATCGATCCAACTATCACAGTGCCAGGCAGCAGTGCGCAAATCACGGCGGTGTCCTGGCCATGCCCAAGAACGCCATTCAGAATGCTAGAATCCAGCAGGTCGTTAGAGGCGACCGCGCTTTCATTGGCCTGAATGACATTCAGCTTGAAAATAATTTCGTGTTCTCGGATGGATCCAGGCTCGGGTCGTATAGAAACTTTGCTCCGGGTGAACCCAATAGTTGGGGTGGCGATGAGGACTGTGTGAATATATATCCCGATGGCAAGTGGAATGACATTGGTTGTCATATGCAACTTCATTTCATTTGTGAATTCCCCGCTTAAGACGTCAGGCGCTCGCGCGTGGGACAAATCCACGGTGATGGCGTAACAAGTGTGAGATACGTTGTAGATCATCGTCCTTACCACCACCATCATCATTATCATCATTGGTTATTCATAGATTTTCCTCCTAAAAAAAAGCTAGCTTCTAACAGTCCGATCTAACACCGGCACTCATATCCACCGTGAACATCCTTTCCATGAGTGTTCCATCCTTCGGCTGCCGATACGTTTTTTGACTCGACAACCGGGGCAATCAACACTTCTGGTAACAGCGTGTTTCCAGCATCGCCAGGGGGTTAACAGGAGCTCAGATCTCGAGCGATTACTCACTAGAGATCACATCCAGCATCATCAGGTGGTCAACAGGAGCTTAGATCTCGAGTTAAAACACTTTCTGGTCTGGGTCATGAGAAGGGTACACGACGACCCAATCCAAAAGCCTAATTATGAATCATAATATTGGTAGCAAATCATTTTTTTAAAATTAGCGCAGTGTACATTAATGATAACGCTTGTGCACGTGTGCTACTCAACGTATCTATTCGAATCCCGTCACCGTGGAATTGCCTCCAATGATGTTGTGAAATTCACACAGGCCTCGAAAAAGTTGACGGATATATCTCTGCAATTGAAGACGAATCTAATGGCATGTTATTAGACAAGATTTACACGTGATTTTCATTTATAATTGCATTACAATGCTTTTGGGTGACTTTGTGATCAAGAGGTAAATCTGTAATCCTACAATAAAATTACATAATCAAAACGTTATCCCCCGTTATACAGTGTGTGCAGACGTTTGTGTGTGCATGTGTGTGGATGTGGGGCGTGGTGGCGCAGTGGTTAGCGTACTGCACTACGAACCCGGCCGAGACCCCAGTTCTATTCCCGCTCACGCCCACCAACACCAGTGACGATTATCTGAACCGGTCATGGGCCTCCTCTCGGTCAATTTCGCTGTCCTTAGTTTTTTTTAAAGAACCCTTATAAACAGACATCACAGAGCTACTTCTGAGATCTCTTCAAACAACCACAGTTCCACACAGTCCATGGGCCAGTAGCAGAATTGGTACCCCTCGAGGGTAGTAGCAAAACGTTAGTCGTAACTGGGTTATTTGTGTACTCCATAAGAGCGAATCACTTGATAATCCACTAATGTCGTGGTTATCGGATAATCCAATAGTATTGGCCACAACAATGACATTTTAACTGCTAAACTATGCCGCATCAGTTCTTTCAGATAAGTGAAATGTCTGGTCTGCAGGGCTCATAGACTAAGTGGGCAGAAACGCTTTTCCACAGACCCTGCCATTGACAGTCACGTTCGATGCATGAGTCAAACCGAATATTTTAATTCTCAGACTTTGAATTTGGTCAAATTCAGTACAAAATCAACGTTTATGTTTTCTTTTTTGCTGCAGAGTCCATTGGTGATCGGACTGGGATCATCAACTTACTGCACGTGAATAGCGGGATTAATCAAAGACAGCTGAGACTTGGATTTGAACCGCGGCTCTCAACGATGCTAGCATCAGCTCTCTTATCTCTGAAACACCTGTCCACCAATTCCATGTCCACATTAAATAATCTTCAACGTAATATGTACACCTCCACTCATCAAGCATTATCTATTTCGCATCTTCCCATGCGGCGTACACATTATTTTACATAATCTTCGACCACGTAGTTCGAGAAGCCTTCCATGCCGGTACCAGTGGAATATCTATCTGTTACAGAACAATAGAAGGATAAACGATGCCCGGGTGTGGTCAAAGGATGGCATCCAAATGGTTAACCATATTATATGTACGCTGATGATCTGGTAGTTGCTGCTCAATCTAATAATGAGTTTGAGGTTCTGCTGCTGAACCTGGAGCATGCCACTAAGAGGTGGGGCATTACCATCAGTCTCTCAAGAATTAAGCACCTATGACGGGGAACGTTCCTGATGAATGGGAAGGCGAAAACATAGTGACACATACACACATACAGTGACACAGAAACAAAGACAAAGATCCCCCACATAACCTTATCGAGCAACTATGAAGGCCGGCAAGGCACACAAGGAAATGCGTGGCAAGCACACCGCCCGCCCTTGTCGCCCCAGTGGCGATGTTTTACACATCACAACAGCAGGTACTCATTTGGTGTTGGTGGCCGTGAGTGGGAATCGAACTGGGTCTCTGTCGGGTCAGTAGCGCAGCGCGCTCACCACTACAATACCACTCCCCAACTTCACGACGACCACCACTACCACGATGTCTCTTCCGCCCAGTGCTGATCTCGAGTCGATAATCATCTTGAGTACGAGTGCCAACAAACATTAGATTGACGTCATGCCAACCAGCCAGATTATAATCATCTCAGCTGATGCTGAGTCATTGTGAAACATAGACAGGCTACGCGCTGGGTTTTTTCTCTTCCTCCTCTTCTTCTCAGCCAACGGTCGCGTTGCATGATGAGTTCGCCTGACCGGGTTTTCCTCTTGCCTGCACTCCCAGTCTGTCCCTCTTTCATTTTTAATTTCATTCATGAAATTTATTTAACCACGATCACCACGGCTCTATCGCCCACTGCCGATCTTTAGTCGATAGTCATCTTGAGTCCTAGTGTCGACAAAAATCAATATTTTGTGGTCCACACGGATCATGCGACCCTGCAGTATGTTGTGAGTTGATAAACCATCTGGACAGCTATCGCGTTGGTAGGAGGTTCTGCAGGATTACTCCTTCACAATCACCGACAGAAAGGGGTTGCGCCACTGTAACGCAGATGCTTTGTCGTGGTTGCCGCCAAAGGGCCAGTATGCGTGTTTTACTGGGGCCGGGCATTGTAAACCGGTAGGTGATGCAGTGCCTTGCACCATGGTAGCATTTGTGGACGCATCACCACCCGTAGTGACGGTCGCGTGCGACAATACCATCAGTCTTGCACTCGACGAGTGGGGGTGCCTCCAGGGGGGTCGAAAAATGTATTTCTTGCCGTCACCCTGGGGCCAGTCCGCTCCTGACCGCCAGGTGCAGGCGCTGTCCGAGGTATCGGTTGATATTCCACCTGGCTCGCAGATGCTTATTCCGTTGCGGTATCGGAAACCAGTGCCTGGAATCGAGGGTGCGGCGGGTGTGTTGTTGTCACCGTCCACTGCTATAACGGGTTGCTTGACGCTGGTCGGGGCACAGACGATTGTCCGTCTGGGTCAGCCTCCGTTTTTACAAGTGTTGAATGGGAGCGCGAATAATGTTGTTGTACCGGCCGGAACGGTTTTGGCTCACGCTACGACTGCTTTCACGGCCCATGACGAACGGGGCCGCCGGGGCCTTGTAGGGGGGGTCTCGGCCTCCACGGCACAGGATGATCGATGGATTGCCGAGTTGTGCTGGGAAAACGCGTCCTTGACTGGGGACCAACGGTCCGCGCTTCGCGCGCTGTTGGGGAGGTATTCCGACGTCTTTAGTTCGGACGATTTCGATTTGGGACGAACCTCCTTGCTCTCCCACCATATTGATACGGGGGATGCCGCTCCGATTCGGATGAACCCGCATCGGTTGAGTCCGACGGAGCGGGATCATGTTCGTGGTGCAGTGGAGGATATGCTGGCCGCTGACATTATTTCCCCGTCCAACAGTCCGTGGGGCGCCCCGGTGGTTCTTGTGAAGAAAAAGGATGGGAAATTGCGATTTTGTGTCGATTTTCGCAAGTTAAATAAGGTGTCGGTTGCGGACGCGTACCCCCTGCCGCGTATGGATGATTCCCTCGATGCCTTGTCTGGGGCGAATTTTTTTTTTACTCTTGATCTCTCATCGGGATTTTGGCAACTTCCCCTGGACGAGTCCTCGAGGGAAAAGACGGCTTTACATACGCCGCAGGGCTTATTTTAGTTTAATTGTCTCCCCATGGGCTTGAACGCCGCCCCCGCGACGTTCCAGCGGCTGATGGAGCTCGTGTTAACAGGTCTGCAGTGGGAGACGTGTTTGATATATTTAGATGATGTTATCGTCTTCAGCCGCACGTTTGAGGAACATCTGCGGAGATTGGATGCAGTGTTTGCTAGAATGCGTTCCGCCAATTTGAAATTTAAGCCCAAAAAGTGTCACCTGTTGCAACGATCCATGCGCTATTTGGGCCACATAGTCAGTTCGGACGGGGTGGCCACGGACCCGGAGAAGACGGCGTGCGTCCGAAACTGGCCGACTCTGGCCACAGTGGGGGACGTCCGTCGGTTCGTTGAGTTCGCTTCATATTACCGCAGGTTCGTTCCAAACTTTGCCACAATCGCTAGGCCGTTGCACCTCCTTACGGTTAAGGGCCGGAGGTTCAGCTGGGGACCGACGGAGGAGGCGGCGTTTCAAGGCCTACGCGATTGTTTAGCGTCGGCACCGACGTTGGACTATCCAGATTTTACTCGGCCTTTTATTCTGGATACTGACGCTAGTGACACCGGGATTGGGGCCGTTCTGTCCCAGTCTAAGGGCGGCGTTGAATGCGTGGTAGCTTACGGTAGCCGCATGTTGTCTCCGGCGGAGACCCGCTACTGCCTTACTCGCCACGAACTATTGGCTATTGTGCATTTTCTTTGCCAATATTGGCCGAATCTGTACGGTCGAACGTTTATTGTGCACACGGACCATGCGGCTTTGTAATATGCCCTGAGGGTTTACCAACCATCTGGCCAATTGGCACGATGGTTGGAAACCCTGCAGGAATTTTCCTTCGAGATTCAGTATCGTAAAGGGTCGTGTCACGTGAACGCGGATGCATTCTCCAGATTGCCGCAGGGGTCCCCTTGCGCTTGTGCTTCGGGCACGAATAGGTGTACGCGGGTTCAGCAAACCCCCTCGGCCTGTTATGTCCGCTG